TGCGACAGGCGCAACTCATGTATTTATTGGTATATTACTTTGATTGGATCGGGTGTGCACATCTCGCAGTACTGAAACATAGAACTAAAACCGAACTAGTAATATAGAGTGCTCTGAATAAGTTGTAAATAAATAGCACATATACACACATTCCCGCCTAATTATGTGTAGCTCAACATATATATTTTGATGGTTCATTTAGCAAAGTATTACTTAGATCGGATCGGGTATGACATCATACTAACTACAACATAAACAGGTACAAGTATTTTACTACATACAATAGCATGTACATATGCGCGTAGAAGTATTAATATTACAACATCGATATATACAAGGGTACTAATATAGATAACAGCATATATACGTACGCGCAGAGGTGTTAATTCATAGCTCAAAATTCATTTATTGATCCACAATACAGCAGTCTTCAGTGCTGTGTTTTTCGTGTAGTTTGTTGTCTACCTTTGATTGTTCATTAATAACCGGTTTCCTCGATGGATGTGCTAAGTCATTTCGTGTTACGTTCACTACTTGACCCTCAGACACTAATGCAGTAAACGCTGGAGTTGCGGGACTGAACAGTGCCTCAATATGCGATGATATACATACCAACGTTGCACAGGTTAAGATTCATTGCCAGGCCATCAGGTTCACCGAAATGGAAACCCCTACCTTTAGACCAGGTGAAGAAGAAGCTCTCTTCCCTCGTTTCTGTACTCCTCAGCTATAGCCACTGTAATCACAAGCGCCGATGCGTAGGGTGCTACTTGGAAGGGCATCTCACAACGGGCTAGGATCTCCATCAATATTTGTTTATTGAACTCTCTTAATGGCACAGAATCCTCTGATGCTAGTGTGGTTATTATATGTAATATTTTGTTATTGTGCGTCTCCTGCTCTGTGCAGGCTATGTCTGCTGCGTTATGTGTGTATGACTGTCGGCTGTATGCGTGATTGTGTGACCGTGTTTAAAAATCGTACAGAGGAAGCCCTGGGGCTGGGGGCTGGGGCCTGGGGGAGGCTGGGGCTGGTAGTCAGAATACACTGTGAGTTGGGATTTAGAAATTGCTGCATCATCACAAATTATAAAGGCATATAATTGGTCGGAATTTCCGTCGTTTCAGGTTTTCGTTGGGCATATTTGAGCGTCGAAACCGTTATAAAGTTTATGACATCAGAATAGGCGTTAAAGTTCAATTTTTATTCTGTATACCCATAACGTATTGAGGAAAGGACCAGAAGTCCGAAGTGGTCCTGAATCGGATCAATATGCGCGGTTGGACCTTTGGACAAGAGATATTTTAACCGTGAGGCACGAAGTCACGAACATCCACGAATCATCAAGAATGTACTTGTGAGCTTAGAGCTATGTAAATACATACCAGTGACCAGTCTACAGGTATTTCATTATCGATACGAATATGGCGTGACGCCGCATGTGTTTTCACTCTTCAGCGCCTCTCTAGTAGAGATAATAGTATGCTGTCGCATCCCACGTGTCTGTATTATATATTGGTATCGTTTTAATAGATGGTATTTGGGCTTTGGCAATTAAGAGTTCTGAGTGTCTCGCGTCTCGCGTCTCGCATAGGTTCTAATGATATTTTTATTATTATACCAGACCATTTTACCGTCCCACACCTCCAATCCTTCGATATATACCTATACCTATCGTATTCTCTCCGTCGAAGCTCAATTCTGCGTTTCTGCGTTTCTACCGAAGAACACACTCGCGTCTACACTGGCATATTCTGTATGTGTCACTAACAGTCCCATATCTGTCAACCCTTTGTGAACATCCCTCGCCATATTATGCATCTCTCTGAGCCCAACATCCAATCTTTCCAAGTGCAGCAGTTCATTCACACATCTTCTCGCGTATATGTGCGCGAGTAGTTTATCAGAGGTTTCAACGCCTATGAGACACAACCGTCTCAGTAACGTACACTGATTCACGACTTCCAACAGTTCGTCACTAATAGGCGAGTAGCGTCCTGGGGGTACTTTGTGGTAAAGGTTTCGGAACTCTTGCTTCAGAGCGATGCACAAAACCCTCAAATTCGGGCAATGCTCCGCAACCAGTCTTAATAGCACAGTGCCGGCATGGCCACTTATTTTGGGGTCGTAGGCAAACCTTAGATCCGTTAATTGGTTACCCAAATGCGACACAATGTCCGCCGTTGGACCACTCGAAATCTTTGAAATAAAAGGAGCCACGATTCGACTCAGATTGGGAAGATGAATGAAATTCCACATATCTCCAACTCCAAACCGGCTATTACACAGGTTTAAGGTTTCGATATATTTACACTGACTCGCCAAGCGCTCCACAAGCGCTTTTGTGTTGTGTGTTTGGTAATCCGCGAAAGTAGTACCCACGATCTTCTCTGAGAGTGTATCGGAAGTCAGTTCACCGTTGGGAAGAATTCCGTAGAGGGGAAACTCCCCGAATTTGAGATCCCTTGGAAACGCCAAGTGTTCCAGACGTGCAAAGCGCGGGTGCTCTAAGAACGTATAGAAGTCTTCTATGGTACGATGCCGCTTCAGTGCGTACCATCTGTTCAACACGTTTTGGTCGATCTGTGTCCACAAATCGTGTGACATAGTTAAGTTGTGCCATCGTTTACACACCTGTGCGATTGTGAATAGGCTTGTCTGTGGTAGAAAATAAAATATGCGGAGTAAAATATCTGAAGGTAGCTCGACAGTGCAGAGGACCAATTTCACTGCCGTGTGCGTGCTCCGTGTAGGTCTGCCCATTCTGTTGACCAAAATAGAGACCTATTTATATCACATGCGTATATTCAAATATCATGTGCATATGAATATCTGGATGCAGTGCAATGAGTGAGAGAGTGAGTGTGTGCGAGTTTGTATGTGGACGCGTGATATATGTGTGCACAGTGGCACGTGTGTAATTTGTTTGTGCTTGTTTGTATGTGTGGTCAGATGCGATGATAACGTCAACCGTTACAGATACTCTCACTCCCCAGCAATAGTTCGTCGGAGTTTGTTGCTGAGTTAAATGCTCTCAATGCAGAACGGTCCCACGTACAAGTATGACTACGTGGCGTGACGACAGTCATTAGTTCACTTAATCCTTCGCTTTCCGTGTTATCATATTATATCCTTCCCGTGCTAGCTTTCTATCCACTTAGCAGTTCACAATTCTTAAATAAGAATAATAATAAATCTGGTGCCGTGCTGTGTTGTTCGCTATTATACTACAAATCTCAACTCCGTATACCCCCTCGACAGGTACCGCTGATTGAATCCTTTTCAATATTCTATGACATCACCATGAAAGTATTCCATGTCATATGACAAGCAATCCTGCGCATCGATATATAATACTTTTCATAGTGAGTGTATATAAATATGTGCATGTACATATGTACAAAAGTGTACATCAGCCGAGTACGTGTCCGTACATAAATACAGAAGTATACATACACAAACACTTGATATTTACGTATGTTCGTATGTTTTTATAAACAATGTCGAGCTTTTTATATTTCGATTTTGTTTGCGTCATCAAAGCTTCAGTAGGTAGGGTTTTTCATTTAGGGTTTATAATTAAAGGGAGTGTCGTAGCTTTATATGCGACAACATATATTTACTTATTTACCGGTTACCATTCTCGAGGAGAGTATAGGATAACAACTCATTATAGGACTGTGGGTCTCACAGCCTGTCTTCTTCTCATAGGAGGCTATGGGCGACATTGCACGAACCACAGTCAGGTGCTTGCGTCGTTTGTTGCAAAAAAAAGATATACAGACGGACAGTAATTCCACCTTACACGCTCGTATTGTGTGAAGCTACCTTGGTTCAATAAACTGTAAGCAAATAGCACAGACATGTCTTCAGTTGTTAAGATGCATCCCTTGTCATTTATGTGTTGTACGTGTTGATACCCTAGTATTAAACTACCAAGTATACACTACTGTCTTTTGTCGGTTATTTACCTTCCACGTATTGATCTCCTAGCGTTGATCTACAAGAGGAGTTCGTCCGTTCTTTTTCGTTGATATGTATTACTTTTATTCTACATGGACCAGTATCGACGTACGGTTAACACTAGATTCCCATATCAATTGTCTAGTCTTTTCATACACAGTCCTCAACCTTTGGTCTACTAGGTGTTACAGATGATTGAGTTTTTGACCGATGTACTTGTACTTGGGTGTGCTCTGGTGTTCTCGATCAGTCGAGTTGTTTCCAACGTCGTGGACCCCATGCACTATTAAATATTGGCTTAGTAGCCTATCAGATATTGGTTTAGCAACCTATTAAGTACTGGTTTCGTAGCCTATTAAACATTGGGTTGGTAGCCGTAGTAGCTGTCCGTTGTCGCTTTCTCTGCATGACATGCATTGGCAACTAGTGTCGCCGTTCGTCCTGCAAACAAGTATGTCTTCTTATGGATGTGGCTGTAACCCACTATTTGACCCACTGGTTCAGACCTACCAGGCGTGGCACCCGCTCACTGCCGATGTATCAATGGTGCATGCTTCAGTTAACTAGTCCACAGTGATGAACCGGATGTACGGAGGAGTTCTTAATCATTTTATTAGCGATACACTTCTCGGTCTATTAGTATTGGTATACTAGGCGTATAGGTGCGCTGTAACCGGGTTGTCTACTCATCAGTCACAGACACGTCCTGCATGTTGGGGGAAACAAAAAACGAGACATCTCAGAATCGGAACCGTCGTACCGTGTGAGTATCAAATCCCCAAATACCGGTTGAGCATAGCATGGTGTCGTATTGAGAGAATGATGAATGTATGTGTGCAACTGTATACGAATGGGCATGATTGTATTTCGAAGTGCTACGTCTGCATATGAACTATGTAGAGCACTATTCAGTCACTAACGTGTGGGCACGCTAGAATAGGCTTGATGGTTAAGGATACCGGTGTCATACAGGAAAAGGCACAGTGTATCGCAAATAGTATGCGGTTATTAGAGTGGGATTTAAATCATGCTGATTGAGTTAAAACGTGGCCATATACATAT